GATTTTCTGTGTTTTTTTTTTTTTTTTTTTTTAGATTCTGTCTCTCACAGTTGAGGTGTACCTACGATGAAAATTACAGATCTCTCCATTCTTTGTAAGTGGGAAAACTTGAAAAATCGGCAGTGTATCAAATACTTATTTGCCCCACTGTATACTACATAGTTTTTTGTCGATTTTCATATTTTTGTGTGTACGCAGTAGAGGTTGAACGACTTCTGATTTTTTGAAGTCGACTTTTATGTGATGAAAGTCGAATCGAAGTCGACTAGTCGCTGAGACAGCGATTGCGTGTGTGAATTAATTCTACCTGGCAGCGTCTTTCTACTAGTAGCGAAGCTGTGGAATTTACTAGTTATTAAGCAATATATGCTTGAACTTTTCAGTTTCTAAGCTATTTTATTGAAAAATCACAGAACAGTGTTGACAATACATTTCCGCGCTGAATGATTCTGTGCGCGCGCGATGTGTGCGTGATGTACGCTACTGTCTGAAGCCTATGTGTGTGCGTTACAGTGCAGCAGCGCGTTAGATTAGAACGGCGATTAACTTACCTGTACAATAAGATGTTTAAAACGTGCATTCTTCTGTTCAATTTCGAGCATCCAGTAATATAATCACACGTCTTGTGGAGCGCTTTCAGAGTATGCATTTATTTGTTATTTGAACTGTTTGGAAACGGAGCGTAAATGTGGAAGTCCTTCAAAGATTTCTTATCCTGTTGCGCCCTCTATAGGACCAGCGACTAGTCGACGTCAAGTTTAAAGCGTCATGGCAGAGCATTGAAGTCGACCAGTCGATTAGTCGATTAGTCTGTGCAACCCCTAGTACGCAGATATTTCTTGAGACGAGGGGAAAAAAAAGATCAGATAGGGAAAGCTCTGGCTTCGTCTGGATGTAGCCTAAGTGTGGAGTTTATCACACATATGATATAGGGCCTTAAATTGAAGATGCCAAAAGAAAAGTTTTTTGTTAAGAAGAAAAATTTAAAAGAGATTAAGATATTAAGGGGGATTTATTTTTTGAACTGTCACTATTGGCATATAATGCTACAAAGATTTCTAAAGTCAGCAGGTTTTACTAATAGACTTACCAATCTCTGCGTAAAAATAAAATTATGCTGTCATCATTCTAAAGTCATTTTATCCTCTCGGGTGAAAATTGTGGATTATTCAGTAAATATTTATTTGTGACATTTAATATTTTGTCTTTAATCACTATTTTATGTTTGTCTTTCTAATTAAAAAAATATATAAAATAAAAAATTTAGGCCAGGGGGTTCTCTAAAATTTGGTTTGATTTGATGCAGAATAATGACCTATTAGCTATAAAATAATACCTAACAATAATATTTAAGGGGATATTCTGTATAGATTATTTAAGTTTGTGAAGATAAAACCTAAATTTGTCTGAATTTTGGCATCGTTTTTGCTCCTGTTAATTTCAATCCCTAATCCTGCTTCTAAATCTGTTCTCTTACCCCCTGCAGCCAGCTTTTGTATTTGTTGGGTAACATGTAGTTGGGATGTGTTCTAGACTACTGTATCTTTTTAGTGGTTAAGTATTTAAATTGGATATTAAATTATTAGATTTTTTTTATTTTTTTTTTTATTTATCCTTTGTTTAGCCAGGAGATTCCCATTGAGACTTCACAATCACTTCTTCCAGCACAAAGTTTAACACGAAGATAACTTTTAAAAAAAAGATCAGGAAAAACACTTACAAGACTCTTTTAAAAAAGTTTGCTAAAGACATTTAAATTTACACGGGGGTGGCAGTGTCTCTAGTTTAATTACAGTTTGCAGATCATTCCAAGCCCAGGGTTCATAAAAAGAAAAAGCACATTTTCCGAATTCTGAGCATACTTTTGGAAATTTTAATCGAATGTACGATCACTCAATTGAGATCTAGTACAGTAACTATTTGTATAAAAAATTTGAGATTTGAAATATAAAAAGGCAACTTGCCTAAAAGTGCCTTAGCAATGAACATATACATATGCAATTTCCTCCTATTATGTAAAGAAGCCCATGCCAATGATCCGTAAAGTATACAATGATGAGTATGTGAATCTGCACCACAAACAAAGCGTAACGCTGCATGATCGGCAGAGTCCGGTTTCCTTAATAAAGATGAAGATGCATGCATGTATACATTTACATTTAGTCATTTTGCAGATGCTTTTATCCAAAGCGACTTACAATTGGGGAATACATGAAGTAATACTTCTTAAAGAGGCAAACAGACACAGGAAGTGCTCGTAATACCAAGCTTCAGACATTGTTCAAATAAGTACAAGCTAGAAAGGGAAGGAATAAAGAGAAAGACAATTTTTTTTTCTTTAATTTAGGATGAAGTCAAGTAGCGTAGAAAGAGATAAGTTTTCAGCTGTCGCTTGAAAATTGTCAGGGATTCAGCATTCTGGATAGGGGTGGGAAGATCATTCCACCAGCCAGGAATGGTGAACGAAAATGTTCTGGAAAGTGATTTTGAGCCTCTCTGTGAGGTCACTATAATCTAGGGATATGCCGGTATCAAATTTTCATGTTGCGATTAATTGCTAATGCTTTTATTACGGTATACGGTATTATCACGGTATTGCAATTTTGTTAAAAAAAAAGTGCTGTCATAATACAGTATAACAGGTTTCATAACTTTTTTCTTATAACAAAAATAACAACATTTAAATGCAATAAAGCAATACAGAAAAATGTATAAAGTTAAAAGTTTTACACAGATTAAAGTGCAAAAGAACCCTTTACAATAAGACCTCATTAGTTAAACTTAGTTAATGCATTAACATTCACAATGAGCAATAGCTACATTTGCTACAGAAGTTATTAA